TCTTTCTTTTGGTTAATTGGGCTAGCGGTCTGTCAATCTTGTTTATCTTTTCAAAGAACCAGCTCTTGGAATTGTAGATTCTTTGTATTGTTTTCTTTGTTTCAATTTCATTAATTTCTGCCCTTATTTTTGTTATTTCTTCTTGTCTGCTGGGTTTGGGTTTGGTTTACTGTTACTTTTCAAGTGTGTTGAGTTGCAATGTTAAGTCATTTATTTGTGTTCTTTCCGATTTTATGATGTAGGCTTTTAGAGCTATAAACCTCCCTCTTAGGACCGCTTTCACTGTGTCCCAGAGGTTTTGTCGTGTTTATTGTTCTTTTCATTTAGTTCCAGGGAAACTTTTATTTCTTTCTTAATTTCTCTTTTGACCCATTCATCATTTAGGAGTGTGTTGTTTAATAAACTCCATGTGTTCATGTGGTGATTAGGGCTTTTTCAGCTGTTGATTGTAGGCTTTTTCCTCCCTCTTAGGACCGCTTTCACTGTGTCCCAGAGGTTTTGTCGTGTTTATTGTTCTTTTCATTTAGTTCCAGGGAAACTTTTATTTCTTTCTTAATTTCTCTTTTGACCCATTCATCATTTAGGAGTGTGTTGTTTAATAAACTCCATGTGTTCATGTGGTGATTAGGGCTTTTTCAGCTGTTGATTGTAGGCTTTTTTGCATTGTGGTCTGATAGAATGCATGGAATTATTTCAGTCCTTTTTGTATTTGTTGAGGTTTTTTTGTGCCCCAATATATGGTCGATTTTGGAGAAGGTTCCATGGGGTGCTGAGTAGAAAGTATGTCCTTTGGTGCTTGGGTGGAATACTTGGTAGATGTGTGTTAAGTCCATTTGATATATGGTATTGTTTAATTCTCATTTCTCTCTGTTAACTCTCTGCCCTGTTGACCTATCTAATGGAGACAGTGGGGTATTGCAGTTGCCTACTATTAATGAGTTGGGGTTAATCTGTGCCTTCAAGTCCTGTAGTATTGTTGTTATGAAGTTGGGTGCACCAGAGTTTGGTGAATATATGTTCATGATTGTAATGTCTTCTTGATTCATTGTTCCTTTGATCAGAATGAAATAGCCCTCTTTGTCTTTTCTGGTTAGTTTCAGTTTAAAGTCAATTTTGTCAGATATTAGGATTGCTACGCCTGCTTTTTTCTTAGTGCCATTTGCTTGGTACTTTTTT